GAATTCGGAACGCTATGATGATGTCCAATTGCCGTATTGCCATAGAAAGCCAATCCGGCTCCAACCCCCACCTCCCCCCCCCACCCCTCTTTTGCCAACAACAAAACGTCCAACCGGAATCCGGTGCAACACCTCCACCATCACACAAACTGGAGCGAGAACGCACTGGGCCTAGAGTAAATTACGATACCTATTTTCACTCTTGGTGAAACCCTTCTCGAAGAGGGGAAAGAGTGTGAAGAGGAGGATAAGAAGGTTGCATTCATCCAATCCCGTGCCGGGGTATGTTCTGGTAAGGCAAGGTTTTAGGGCAGTAACCACAGGAAGGAGGGGGGGGAGAGGAAGGAACCTTTTCCTAATGGTGTGGTGGTTCCGTATGGTTCGCTGATACGGTAGCCTACCAGACCTTCGCCAGGGCTCAGGCTCTCACCTGGTCAGTTTAAGTTAACATAGCGGCGGGTGAAACGGGGTGTGGATGTTTTGTGAGCGTTTGTACACCTTTGCCATGCGACATCATGCCCGTTGCTGCTTCTCACTCTCGGATTTTGCACGTACCTATGCAAAGGATTCCTCCTTCCCCCCCCACCGCCCTGTTCGGTGTAATGCGGTTGGGTGCCTCACTTTCAACCAATCCACCTTTCTCGTATGATGCCCTATACTCCCCGTGCAAATTTGCTACTAGTAACACAGTGTCCTGCAGCGGCCGAGCAAGAGGCCGACGGACACAACCGACACTGGCCACTCGAGTAGTGTTTTTGTTTTTCTTGTCATGATAAATCGTGGTATGGTTCTAGGTATCATACTGTATAATACATGGTTAGTCCCGCCTAACTTACACTTTCAACGAGGGAACGCTTTAGAAACCGGCGAGCGAGGAACAGGGTCAGCGGCAGGCTTTTTTTTTCTTTTCTTCGTTACCCTACCTCATATTTGGACCTTTAATACACTTTTTTGCCTGCCATGTATAGTACAAGTACCGTACCCCTTTTGCCACCCGCCGGTTTCCCGACCCTCACCGTTGAACGATCGCACTGGTACAGGGTGCTCGAGCGTTTTCTTGGGGGAAGAGTCCCGTGGCAGATGAGGACCTAAATAGAACTGGTTCAAACTATTGTCAAAACGAGTACGCGCTTTAATCATGACTTTCAAGTATATGCAACCCCAAAACTACTCGAGTACAGCACTAACTCGGGTACTCAGGAAAGGCGGTGGTTGCCTGTGGACATTGGCTGGTCTCGAGTTCTCGAACACCCGATTTCCAGCGTAGAAGGATGACGGTGCGATAGCGTGAAGGTATAAGTAATAGTACTAAGTTAGCCATTCATAGAGTCTTTCAGGTCGTGGGCAAAGATAGCGGAACGTTGGTTTCAAACCCCCGCTGTGCTACGGTACTCGAGCGCTCGAGTACATTATCCTGCACAATTTGTACCCGACAATGGGGTTCCCCGGTCGCATATTCGGCGGTCCTTGTGTTTTTCCGCGGCGGGCTTTGCCGATCCGCCCCGTGGGGATTTATACACATATTCACCCACGCATTATTTATATGTGTATTTATTTATTTATTTATAGAGATCGCCTCTTGAAGGAGATTGACGGGATGGAAGCGCTCTAACTTACGCTGATTTTGCAGGGAGGGGGATGCCTGCCTGGGGTAACAACCACCAGTCTGCTGCAAATCCATCCCAAACCATGTACGGTATACGGTACAAACAATAATGGGCCGAGCACGGTATCATACTGCTCACACGTCACCATGCTAGGAGGGAGAAAGATAAAAGAATATACTATTTCTGCTTCGCCTATAGTTTCAAATCCTGCGCATTCGTCCCTACGATCGCACTGGTCCAATCGACAGAGTATGGATGGGGGAAGGAGAGGGAGGGAGAGCAAATGCCCACGGGCATCGCGCGCGCAGCGGGGGGATTCTTGCCGGCATGTGTACGGTATGTAAGTTATGAGTCGCCTCCGACTTTTCACCATAACGGTAAAACCGTGCGGTGCTCCCACGGCATGATACCGTCCGGTAATCCCATTCTCGTTTTTTTTTTCTTTTTTTCCGTTTCTTTGTTTTTTCCCCCTCTCTCTTCCATTCTTTCCTTTCCCTCTACTTACTCACGTACAAGTATTCCCATTCGTTTTCTTTTTTTTGGCCGGCGTGGGGTGCGCTTCCCTGCCTCGGCATCGCTCGATGGGGAGGAGTGATGGTAACCTGCCTCTGCGTAACGGAGCGCACTTGCCATCCGTCCCATTCATTTGTTCCTTTGTCCTTGAGTACGCCTTTTCTTTTTCTTCTCCTTCTCACGGGGGGGGGGGGCGTAGGATGTGTCGCTCTTCTGCCGTGCTCTAATTTACTACTCCGCGCTGGACTGCGATGGTCGTGGCGATGATCGTACTTGCAGCATAAAGGAGGGTAACCGTGAGCGCAGCGTGACATCCCATCAACGCGGTATCGGTTCGTTCGTGTTTCAGGCTTCTTTTTTTTTCTTTTTTTTTTTAAGAGCAGGGCAGGCGCAAGATACTCGAGCGCCGTACCGTGAATGCTCTTCTACTCTTCCCTTCGATATGATACGCTACGGTGCTGCATTGTAAAGTGATCAGTGTCGGCGGGCATACCGTATACCACTTTGCACCTTCTTGTCCACCACCACTCCTACGGTAGATTATCCTTTCTTTCCTTTTTTTTCTTTTCGTTTTTCTCCAAACATGGAACCTCAGGTCTCCTTGTTCCGCTTCGTTCTACTAATACTACTTTCATGGGTTGCGCATCACCGTAAAGTACGGTAAGTCGTGGCGTGAACGGGTTGTAACTTAGAACACGATCGTCTCGTCGACTCACTGCATACCGGTATTTTTATCCTAACTTTTTCTTTTCTTCTTCTTTCTTCCCTAGCACGGGGCAAGTATCCCTTGCTCCTCTACCGTGCACTACTCAACTGCGCGCTGTGCAGCACCGTTGTACAGTACGAGGTCGTGGCGGGCATCCATGGTGGAGTGCTGGAGTGTATAGACTCTATCAACTCCGCCGTCCTTCATTTGATGCACCCAGCTTCCACACTAACGCGCTGGGCGCAGTGTTGGGATCCTATGTTTTTTTTTTTGCTTCTTTTTCCATTTTTCCCTGGAATATGGCAAGGGTGTGCGATGCTCTGTGATACTCGAGCACCGTACTTCTACGAGTATTAGCGTAGATGTCATAGGAACTGGGCGGAGACACTCCCGTAATCCACCCCCTTGGCACACCTGTGTTCCCACAGTGCCGGTACATCAATCCTGTTTTTGCTTTCCTGTTCTCTGGTAGGCTTAGCATGGGGTTCTTGAGCGCTTTTTTCCTTTTTTTCCTAGCCCTATGGCCTTAAGGTGTCGTACAAAGGGGGATATTTTCGACATTAGAAACTTATGATAGATTAACTCTGCACTAACTTTATTCTGAGTGGGTGAGGCAGGAACCCGCCACCGGAGGGGCTCAGACCTGGATATCCGGCTGGTTAACCTCAAGTACTCGAGTACATAGCCGTTTCGTGGCTTCGTGCTGCACCTCGCACTTGTACTTTTATCCTACGATGAGTACGAAATGGCAATACTATGATGCTCCTATGCACAGCCGCGCGATGAGTGAAAGAGAGGGAAGGGGGGGGGGGGAAAAAAAAAGACAGTCTCACTTGTAGATGCCCATGCCAGATACAAGTACGGTCCCGCACCGTCAAAGGACGTTGGGAATACGGATAGGCGCGCAAATAATACAATACAAGACAGCAACCACGCAGTCAGGTGAATTTCTCCGAATGTTCTATGTGCAGTACTAGTACTCGTATGATACTCACCCACCCACCCATCTGGATAGACTAGACAGCGGGTCCAATTCCAGCCGCCCGCCGTTGCATAATAACTTAACGCACACATTTGTTTTGCACGCACATCGTACCCCCTCCTCATACAACCTAACTAGAGTGTATCCCAAACGGATGAAATACCATGTTCGTGCGCTATCAGCTAAACCCATTGAAGAGAATTGACCCGTGTGGTGCACCCTCCACTGTGCGATGCCGGCGATGATCCATCTATATTGCCACACCCTATTTCCTCAAAACTTGCCGGTACTGTATTCGTACACCTAGGAGTGCTGTATGACAGATGAATATGGGTTGGAAAGGAGATGATTGGACAGGAGGTACGCATTCCCTATCCAGTGTCGACGAATCAGCGAATGCGGCCGCCGGTTCGAATGGGGGTGGGTGGGTGGGTAGGTGAGTGGTGGTGGTGGTGGTGGTGGGTAGTGGTGGAAACCGAGCGAATAACTCAAGTGCCATTCCGAAATATGGATCCGAGAAGGGTGGACGGGGGGGGGGTGTGTGCGTTGGTGCGGAGGGAACTTGTGTACAGTATAGTACAGTATGATACGGTATTAAATATATGCATAGGTTTAATTAATAGTCTGATGCATGGGGCTAGTGGGTGTTTTACCCTTACCGTACTCGACGCACATTTGGGTTCTGCGACTTGGGAGCGAGTGGGCTCCGTGGTAAGGAGGGCATGGACGGCGTACTGGTTGCTGTACCGTATGGTGCTCGCGCGGTAAAAGGTGTATGTATGGTGGCTGACTGGGATTTTCAGAACTACGGTATTGAGTGATTGGGTACAGCTGGTAACTTGGGTGCAGCTGGTAACTTGGGTGCAGCTGGTAACTTGGGTGTTGGGGGAGGGGGTGTCGCCAGGCATAACCCATCACTTGACATACGCATCATCGATGGGGCTGATGTCCCGTAACTCGGGCAGAAGGATGGGTCGAACCAAGGGGGTGGGGAAAAGGTTGAAGAGAGAAGGGGAAAGAAGAGAAAAAGCGCGGAAAAGGGAAAATTTTTGGAAAAGTCCAATTATTGAACGGGGCGTGTCTGAACCTGGCAGTACGAGTACAGATATTTTAACGGGCGATGGGGCCTTGGGGTGTCACGGTACCATAGTCGTAGTGGTACGGAGGCGGACAGACACAACGGGTGGTCAGGAAGGAAGGAGAGGGAAAAAAAAAAAGCAGGGAAGGAAAAAGGCTGCTCCCAATTTCTGTTCTCCGCGTCACCTCTTCGTTCCTATTATGATGTAGTAGTGCCGGCACTCATGAGGGTAGAGATCGGGTAAGAGTAAAAACAAAGTAGGTTAAATGAGATAAAATATTGGAAAATTCCCATAGAACTGTCACCGAGTGGTAAGGCGTACGAGGGTTCAAAATCCACTCTTGCTGTAATTTACAAGTACTTTGCGCACTAATGCAGTCACATAGCGGACGTTGAGCAAAGGGTTTGGGAAGAACTCCCGTGTATAATTTTTTTTCTTTTTTCTTACTAGTAATACAATCAAAGTTTGAAAGCGGAAGTGTAAAGCGGAATTTCATGAGAAAGAGGATAAGGGGGAACTCCTCCAGTAAATGAAGATAGGAAAAATTGAAATTAGAAAGTGATGTTATAATTGAGAACCAAAGCATGCCTACACCGAAACCTATGAGCTAGCCCGCGATCCTGCTGTCCCTTCTATCGTAAAACACAAGATGAGTCAAAGAAAGGGAAAGATGTAATGCAGAGAGGGAGGAATTATCGCGATGGAGGAGAAACAAAGAAGGAAAGAAATGAAGGAGGAAAAAAGAAAAGGGAAAGATTCTAGGTAGAGTCTATAGGGGGTAGTGGATAACCGGGAAGTATTTGCGAGGGAGTCGGTCTTCCGCTGTTGGTCGGGCCCGGGCGTGCGTAGCGGACTGGGTCGGTGGGGAGCGGAGATCTCTAGGAAACTTCTGAGGAAACCGATCATCCGCTGTTGGTCGAGCCAGAGAGTACGCGGCCGCCTCGGTCGATGAAGAGAGGAGACCAGATAATAGTGGATCATTTATGCATTAAGAGTGGGCGACGAAGCCGCAACAATTGCGACGAGAGCGAGACCAACGAATGTTTTCTGTGGGCTGTGAGTTGGAAAACCGCCAGCTTAGTGTCCCCGTTGCTGGTATGTGTCCCCGCTGCTGCTGTTCCCATTGCTGCTGTTCCCATTGCTGCGCTGCTGTTCCCGTTCCTGCTGTTCCCATTGCTGCTGTTCCCATTGCTGCTGTTCCCATTGCTGCTGTTCCCGTTGCTGCTGTTCCCATTGCTGCTGTTCCCGTTGCTCCTGTTCCCGACGAGTTGGCGCTGGAGAGTAGAGGGGGCCGTTTCGTTGCTGTTGCTGATGAGTTGGCGCAGGCAAGTAGAGGGGCCCATTTTCCTTTTGGAATCTGTCCAAGCGTGTGAGTCCATGGGAGGGGTCGTCGATCATCTCCCGTGGAATTCCTAGACCGGCCGCTGCATTGGCCACACCATTTGTCTATAGAAATGTTAGGATAGGGGAGCTCGGTAATGGCAGGAGTCGGTGCATACCTGTTGTCCGTTTGGGTGGGCCATTGTGAAGGAGGAGAGGAGGTGGAAAGGAGGCACTTTATGCGGATGATAGGCAAAAGGGATGGGTGTGGATGCAGTCTTTGATATGGGGACGAACAGTTGATGATGCGTGGGCAAAGTGTGGTGAAGGGGGGGATCTGGCTCCTAGATATACTGCTTGTATGGTGCCGGTGCGGGAAATGTCGTAGTAGTAGCAGTGGTGTTAGAAGTGAGAGGAGCGGTGGGCGGATTGTATGGGCAACTTATACATGACACCCCCCAAGAGCAGCCGACTCTCCATGAATATGAATCCGGTATTACAAGTTTTTTAAGCAGGCCCCTACCAACGAAAGAAGAAACATGCCTTGCCCCTGCCACCACCCCCCACACGCGAGGACTGAACGCCAAGCATGTCCGCCCAAAGAGACGAGCAGCCTTGGGTCTAAGCAGCTCAGTAGTGATCGTAAAGAAAGTCAGGCCAACTGCCGGAGTAACCGGGATAATTACTTCGAGGTTTTGTTTTGTCGGGAATGGGGCGTTCGTCCTGATCGCGCACAATCTGAATAACTCGCAAATAGTTTAGCCAATAGACTTTCCCAAGGTGTGAAGTTAGGGTAGAAGCCTGTAATGAAGCAGGGCGGGAATGCAGGTGATGTGTATGGAGCAGGCAGCAGGGGCAGGGGCAGAGGTTACCCATCGTGGGGAGGGGGAGGCATGATAGCTCTGTGCTACTGAATTTTGAGAACTTGCGCAAAAGATTGAGCGATCAACAAAAAAAAAGAGGAACCCGATTCTTAAGTCTTGTTTTCTCCCAACATCCGGAACACAGCCCGCCCCGCAATCCTCAAAAGACCCTCAGTTCGCAACTCTGCGCCTCTCCCTGCGCCTCTAATCGGGTTGGGCGCACCAGCGGACCCGCACCCCCGCCCCGTTCCCCCTTCGCCCCAGCGTCTTCCACCCTTTCCTCCAAATCCGCCCGACTTGCTGGGGATGCCTCGTTGTCTCCTGCAATTGGGTTTGGGGAGAAGGAAGAGAGGGGCTGGTTAGGTGGTTTATCAGAAGGTCAGGTCACACTCTCCCGATAAGCCGCACTGAGGCAACAAGCAAGGCCCCACTCGAGAACGAGAACGCCGCGCTAGTTCCCACGTTGTGAGAACTCGAATGGCTCGACGCTGAGACTATGATGTCCAGAGTTCGCTTTCTTGAAGAGGGGGATGGAGGAGCTTCGAACACTGATGCCTTCAGCCTCACCTTAAAAGGGGTAAAAAAAAAAAAGGAAAAAGAGAAAGTCTCAAACCTTACAAGCAGAGGCAACTCCAACGTCGCAGCGCGAGGCTCAACTATCACTGTATTGCTCCTCCGCGTTCCTGTACTTTTGCATGTCAATTTCCCTTTCCTGCACTCCGCATGCTCGCCAGGGTTTCTGCGGGCGGTGGAGGCCCGCTCGGGGGGGTAGACTGGGTTGGCCGCCTAGGGCAGTGGTTTTTGTTAGATGATCCAGATTTTGCATAGCACAGTAGATATCATACCAGTGCGACCTCGTTACGCCAAAGTCTTGGCGATATGATAGAGAGGATCAAGCGCTGTACTCGAGTATCGGTATTGAACTACGAGTAAAATTTAGTACGATATCATACCACTGTGCCCCTCCACCAGGGCCTGACCTCCGCCCTACACCGGGGGTTCCCGGAAGATTTCAGGTCCGGGCATAAAATTACCGGCATTTGAGAAAGAAACTCCACATAAGCGGACAACGAACGGGGGGCATCGACAAGCAACCGACCCGAAGATGTCTTGGCAAAGGGCGAGTTTCTTTGGTTTGTTCATTGAGCCCCATGTTAGTGAGAATAGTAATTTTGTGAAGAACCTTTTTCTAAGTCTCTAATAACCTCTGTTTTGTTCTTCTTTGGTAGGTGCCGTTAGGATCGGTGGCCTGAATCATGCTGCACTGAGCTGTTTGATAAAGTGGTGCAATCTCTTCAATTCCGACTCCAACCAGAAACACCTGCTCCCTGCACGAATCGTGTTATATTCTCCCCAGGGGAGGGCATTCCTGATTCTAGGTTTTTGGACCAAGTTGGCCGTAGCAATATGATACTATGGCTACCTCATTATTTGGAAAGGTCCGCCTGCCGCCATGATGGCACGTTGAAACAAGAGTTTCTCTGTATCATAGTCTGTGTCAAGTTCGCTACAAAATGCATTCATTCAACTATTTATGGTTGAAACCGGGCCTACGGTACTGGGACTCTTCCAGACGACATTGAATGTTTTACTTCAGCCCCTAAAGTCCGCGTCGTGCGTTTTTGTCGTTTCGGGGAGAGGCCGGGGATGCGGATTACGCAGCTCAGACTGTTGAATACGCCGGGTCTTACTAAGGTTCTCCGGTGTCCCATCGTACTCGCTCAAGTACCGGTAAAGCTTGGCTAAGTGCCCCGGCAAAAGACTCCCCCCCCGGTACGACTTTACCCTATCTTAACGTTCAAGCGATAGGCGAAATTTTTCCAAACAATCCGGCAGCACTTTCCCAACTACTAAGACCCTGCCATACCTCTCCTCCTCTTGGGGCCGTACTCGAGTACTGTACTCGTCCATAGATCAGGTTCTGATTTGATTGGTAACTACTTTCTGGCGTTGCGCGGGGAAAAGACATGGAGGGTGAAAACGAGAGATGTGCCTGGGCATCCAGATATCCTTCCTGAGATCACCTTGGGAATATATAGCGATAGATCTACTCGGATACTGCTCGGATTCAAGGAGTGTCCGGAAACCTGCTGTCAAACCTCTGGGGGTGGGACCTCCCGACACTTGTACCCTCAATGCTAGCGTGCAGCCTCATTTCATGGCCATGGATTATCTCCTCCGCCCTTACACTCTATAACACTGCCGTGGCGATTGTGTTTCCCAATTCTATGATACAATAGCAGTTTGGCAAAGCCCTATGAGACGTTGGCCAATATGGGTGATGATCATCCATCTCCTCCCCGTTTCCTTGAGCTGCGCGTGGAACTTGGTCCGGATCATCCCTGTTGGAATATCTATCAGCCGGAGGGAACCCGGTTGCCCGACCGCTCGAGTAAGGGATCAATGTATTCTTCTCGGGGTGTGCGGTGAAGCCCCGTAGTGTGGGCACATAATGCTATCGTATACCACTTGTATCACCAGAAAGTAAAAAATATTACTCCTGGGAACCCCGCACTAAACCTACGTTGTCGCAAAATGTGTGGTCTTTGACGCTTCGCACCTCGTTGAAACCTACCGATATCTAGTATTGTCAATGTGCTGCTGTGACAATACGAGCACATGTAATCAAGATGCATCGAGATTCAAACTGGGTCTAATTCTTTCCGGAGAAATGGGACCATCCAGCTTCCTGCTTATCTCGATACCGACTCCGCCTAGCCATATAGTAGGGGTGTATAGACCGTCAGTGATCGCCCTGAAAGTAAATGAGAGAAAAAATTACTTAGCGGGTAACTTAAAGAGTGCCTAGGCATACCCATTCTGAAGCATCGACATGGGTATGTCACCCTTAAATGGCTAGTAGTGTCGCCGCCTGGAAGCAATAGCCGGGACTTCGAGTCTGTATACCACTAGATACGAGATGACGCTTCAAATGATCTTATCCATTAAAGCGCAAAAGCCCCGTAGCGCCAGTGATATCTTCTATACCTCTTCGTCAAAGGTGCAGTGTGGTAGGTAGCCGGGAGTGCCCTTGTCTGTCGCCCCGTAACCGAAGGTCTGGGTTTTGAACTTGTTCCCGAGGATTCCCGGAACGATGCCATAGCAGCCCTAGGGGAACCCCTCCCCCAACGGGCTAATGAGGTATCAGCATCCATAACCAGGTGAAATAGTGAATATCGTGGATTGCGGTACAAGAGACACAGCCCCAACATCTCATACCACTTCCTAACCGCCGGGACGGCCGTGCAATGTGCATTTACAGAGATATTGGCCTGATTAATAACCCTCGCCTCCTATTACCTTGCGCTTCCTTCCCCCGCCCATTCTCTATCCATCTATCTCGTCTCCCCCTTCCGGAGGGCGGAGTTCTGGCCAATGCTGGCAAAGACCCCATCACAAAGGGGGGAAGAATGGGAAAGGAAGAAAAATCTGGCGGAGCGTCAATACGGGGTCTATCAGGTTCTCATCGTTTCAAACTACTCGTTTATGGACGTGGGTGATCGGGATTAGGAGGATCATAGATTCTTGCATGTTTAGGCAATTTCCATGCTAAATTCATTCTTTATTTCTGTTGGGAGGTATCTTGAAAAGTATCATAAGAAAGGAGATCGAGGCGGGCAGAGATCGAGTTGGGACTCTTTGGTCCAGACATATCGACCGGACCCCGTGCTGCCCAAACCGGGACGGGGGAAATGTAAGGAAGTTCCTGCTGCGGATGCTCCTGGACATGAGATGGTGACCAGATCATAGTTCATCACTCGTGATGATACCTAGTAGGAATAGTGGGTACACAATTGAACCCACGAACATTATTCCGACAATCTTCTGTGAGGGCCTTAACGTAGGGCCTCCAGGGTCCCTACGAGTAGTTGATCGCCCACGCCCGTGCCCTAGCGCGTGCATACATGTGGAACAGGTGAGTACAAGTAGGGTTAGGAGCGATGCGGGGGCACTGGGTCTACCGCATTTAACCGGCTAAACTGTATATGGCGCTAGAGAAGTCAAATAAAGCGTGGTTCAATAGGTGGGCGATACGCTGATGAGGAAAGTTCACCGTAGGAGTTAGGTTCTGAACATTATTTGCCACAGAGTGTTGTTTCCGCTAAAGTCCTTTTACCTTCCCGAGGAAAAGTGTTCCCTAGAGATTCGCTGCCACCCCCCTATTGAGCCACAATCTACTCGTACTTGACTGCTCTAGTACTAACCGTTTATACGGTATGTCGTGTATCGGGTAGCGATGCGTGGCATTCGCCCTGTCGGAGGGGGCAAGCGATGGAGAAAATGAGGAAGAGCGTGGAGAGGCGCTTGAGGGTAATTGGGTTGGGTCTGATGAATGTTGTTATGATAGTAGATATGTATTGCTCGTGCTACACCAAAGATAGGGCTGTCAGCAGTGGTAGCGGCTGGTTGTCGCTCCAGCACGATTACATGCTCTTGGCGGGGTAAACCGGTAGGTAGTCCGGTCTGTCGGGACTGTACCGTACCATCCATACCACGTTTTCCGCGATGGCGTAATTTTATTTTTCGGTAGATCGCAGTATTGCGATCTTCCCCGGGAAGACATCGTATCCAGCAACCCCCTTGTACCACTATAGTTGTGATCTCGTCCGAAGCGACAGGGAGGAGGTGTGTGAATCCCCTTGCCACAGAGTAAGCTGTGTTCAAATATTGAATCCACCGTGGTTAGAGCTTTTCTAGAGTCCAATTTGAGTTGTTTAAAGGAGATTGCGTTTGTTCAGCGCAGCCCAAGGGGGACCTTCCGCTTTAGCAGTGCCCGCTCGAAAATTTGTCTGTGCTCTCGGAAGCCCCGGGGAACTAGAGTTAGTCCCAAGGAAGAAAGAGGAATTCCGTCCTATCCAAATCTCCTGGCTATACTTGTGCAAGTGCTCCTAAGGGGATAAGTTAGTGTCTGTCTTGGTCAACCTAAAAAAATTTCTTCCTAGGAACCAAACCGGAGTCGGAGAACTTGAAGCTCCACCGGTATTTAAAATATTCCAATTCATTGCCTTCTACCAATGGAAAAATTCCATCTGAAGGGGTTACACATTTCTCCCCCTTGGCTCCTGGCACTACCCCAGTACTCGTACAAGTATGATGAAGTCTGGTAATCGTGTCCTATCGGACCACATCGCTCGATCACATCATATTACCCTCATCGCAACACCCCACGCCCTGCACTCTTGGACGCATACTCGAGTGCCACCACGATAACCCGGAACCGGGGGGCCTTGGGACGGGGGGGTGCGATTCTGGGTTCATCCCCTCCTTCCTTCCCTTCCCAACACTAATACCCATCCCGATCCCACCGCCAAAAAACCCCCGACACCGGCGGTCTTAACTCGTGCACTAGTAAGGAGGTGTTTCTTTATGCATACAACTTGAACCTTTCCCTTCCTTCCTTCCTTCCTTCTTTTTTTTCCTTTTTGTTTTCTCGGTTGGATGGAAGGCGGAATGGCTTGTCCCGAGCGGAATTGGTGGCGTGGGGTTTAAAGTTTTTTGCCGATGGTGCGCCTGTTGTGTGTGGTGGTGGGGATGCGGGTTGCCCTTTTTTTGTTTTTTTTTCGTCAAATTCATGGTACTCGAGTGTCATATGATTTTAGGTACTTGTACTCGTACATGACAAGCGCTTCCTAGTGCACTCTATGATACCAGAATATAGGCATGTCTAAAAATAGGCTCTCGTTCGGTCCATGGCAACAGAAATCCGCCCCTATCATACCATTTTTATCACTTCATACTCATCTGGGAAGCTATTCCACACGATGACAAATAGAAGTCTACTTGACCAGTATCACGTCGATCCGCCCTAATATCAGATCTCTTCTTAATTATTTTTTTGGATCAATTGTTCCCAGCTATGATGGGAAAGGTTGTCCAGCCTACGTATTTTTCTTATCGTGTTGCTGCCACTCTGCCAAGTTTTTCCGCACTTGATACCTGCTGTATCCATCGTGCATATGTAGATAAAAGCCTAAGCTGCTGTACTACCTGGTTCACGATCTGAAGCCCCAATTACAGCGCAATAAGCCTACTGGTGGGCTATAGCGCATGCTGTAGGTTCTGCATCGGGCTATACGGTATCGTCTGCTGATATAATAAAACCAGAGCTCACCCGCATGTCCTAATAGATACAAGCATGACACCGATAGCAGAAGTAAACACAACCCTAGAGTTTCGGTCCTATCCACATTATGAATCGTATTTACGATTCTTACAATAGTATGATATCCACCGCACCTCCCCCTCCTTCCTCGCGAAAAAAAAAAAGGTAATTGGAGCCCCTCTTCTTTCTCTCCCTCGCTAACTTCAACATCGATCTGGTGACCTGACTCATCCTGTGGTATAATACGACACGTTAAGGGACTATCCCTCTCAATGGACTTTCAGCATACTCAGCCGTGAACCTGAACGCAGAACCCATAATATGCTAAGCAGCCTGGCGGAGCCACACCACCACAACACCAGGTGACGTTATGGCTAGCAATTGAGGAAGCCCCTGGGTTAAGCGAGGTTTCATCCCACGGTTCTGGAATGGGAGGCTAAGTGTTCTTTGGCTGTAGTATGCTTAACCGTCCAGTACTCGAGTACTATCTGTAACTCGAATGCATATCGTGGCTTGCACTTGTGGAAGAATCTCCTACAGTACAGTGCCTTAGTATTGGACTAGTACTAGTGCAGTACTGTATTGTACTTGCATTCTACTCTACGTGGGGGGTTGATACGAGCACAAGTGTACTAGTACCAATGCCTAGTGTACACTACCGTACTGGACCGACATCATGCCGTTTAATCTGGGAAGCGCCGGGACACGCTAGCAAGGGTAAACAAGGTGTGGCGAGGATTTTCTACCCTTCAGGGGAAGCCGGACTCCCAAAAAGTGATGAAATTCCCTGTTCCTGTAGTGATTATATGAGATTAGTGCCGATTGAAGCAACCTCTCACCAAGCCACGCCCTCCGACCCTTGCAAGCGTATTCTTGCTCTTCCCAGATTTTAAGGCACTGTATCATGGAACATCCCCTCACCGCAGGTGGGATCAGGGACCTACTGGAAGGGTGGAAGAAACCCTTTTCGCTCCTTTAGTCAGACTCGGGGGAGGCTTGAGCCATCTTGGTCTGTTGATCAATTTAAGGCCTCCCGGAAGGGCAGACCCTGTTACGCCGTTTCCCTTTCTCCCTAGTGTAGGCGGGTAGCCTGGTACAGTACTATACACCATATGTGTACAAGTACAGTACGAGTACTCGAGTAGCTCAGTACCCAGGTATAACCATCTGACCAAGGAGATAATTTTCCCTGTCCCCTGTGGGACTTGTCCGATCGGTGCGGGAAATTTTGCGAATCCCGGTCTTCACACCCCCTATCGCGGCCTTCCCCCTCCCTCCATCGGTATTGTTATTATTATTATTATTTTCCTGCTTTTCCTACTTGCCTGAAAACTCCGCAAAGTACTGTACGGTACTGGAGCAGAAAGGAGAAAGGGAAAAAGTAAAGAGTAACGTTCCCCCCACCTCCCCAGTTCAAAAAAAAAAGCAAAGACAGTAGTATGGATGATTGGAAAAAAGAAAAGAAAGAGACAACTCGTTACCGCAGCGGGATCGTTTTTGGCCTTACTTGCTTTTGCTCGTCCAATTCTTTTTCTTCTTTTTTTCTTCTTTTTCCACTTTTTTACTTTTTTACTCTTTTATTTTAGACCTTGACTTTTGGGTTTTCGTTGTTCGAAGCACCCCCCCCCCCTCCCCTTCCTCCCCCTCCTCCTCTAGCTTTTGGTTAACTGTCGATGATATCGTTCCTCATAAAGTTGGGATTTCATCTCCTGGATCTTGTTGCTGAAGTGGTGATAAGCTCTTTACCGGGGAAAATTTCCGTCACAGCCGTCTCGTTCCCTCTTCACCTACGGCCTCTCCCGGTCATCACCGACCTTGCCCCTCCATCGTTTATCATCCGCAGTACAAAATAATAGTCTTGACCCACTGCCCCCCACAATATCAATATCCTCAATTTATCCTCCCTACACCACACAACAACACATCCACATCCGCAACTACAAGTACTCTGCTCCACCCTTGCTTTGGCGCCCCTTCCTCCCTACCCTACAAGCTCCACACACACCTCCAAATATCGCAGTCCCAGCCCCACGCACGCACACACCCACATATGGCCACCATGTCAAATCCAATATACGCTTATCGAGAATACCTCCACCTCCTCCCTCACCTCTTCTTTGTAAAGGTCGAGAAGCAATTCCCGGGCGAGGCATGCATAGCTTGCGACGACACACTCACCCACCAGCTCTTCGAGTGCAACACGTGCACGCTGCGCCTGTGCGAGCCTTGTCGGGACCGAATCGTGGATAGGTACCACCTGGGCTCGCTGACAAAGTTGGTACAGAACGTGGCGGGCTGGAAGATTGGTTATCAGAGCCCGATAGCGATTGGGCAGCAACAGCGACAGTTCCAACAGCAGCAACAGCAGGAGCGAATTGGAGGAGTGTTAGATATCAACCACCAGACATTGCTCATGATGATGCAGGGGGAGCACGGGCAACAGCAATTACAGTACCAGCCCCAGTATCAGATCCACCACCAACAGCGACAAGAGCTTCAGCGTATACAACAGCAGGCGCAGCAGGAGGACCTGGGAGGGCAGCAAATGATGTTACAAATGGACAGCGGATTAAGGACCCAACGAAAATTTCTGGAAATGATGCAGAAGATTCAGAGTGAGATCGAGATGGAGGCGGAACTGGAGAATATGAATAGCGTGTCGGGTGGGATGAGGGGGAGGGGCCCAATGGGTGGGAGTAGTTGATGGTCGGTGGAGATCTGTGGATACAATATTGGGGGGACTCTTTTTTTCTTCTTCTTCCCCTTTTTACCTTGCACCTTGCGCGCGGGCATGCACGACGCGATAGCTGGGTAAGTGGGTGGGCGGTGCCACTGCTTACTTGCTTGCTTCCGGCTTCCGGGCTGAAATGGGCTGAAGTGGAATTCGCTTCTCACGGTCATGGTACAGTACTGCCGGCACTACACTTTCCATTCCCCTTCCCTCTCCCCCACTTTTTTTTCCTTCCCTCCTTCAGTTGAGCGTTGGTACGGAGTTCGGTTGTAGGGTTACAGTGGTCTCATTTCACTTTATTTCTCTTGGTTTCAAAAAAGTCCTATTTTCGTTTATTTGTTTGGCTCTACCGGTAGCTCACAGTATCCGAAAGGTTGACTTAATATGCAGTTGCTATTATTCTCTTTTTTTTTCTTCCCAACTAATTAATCGAGAGTTCTTACCAACCCCCTCCCCAGCTGAAGAACCGTTAGAAATTTCGTCTGAAAGTCATCTTTCAATTCACAGATCCTTTAACTCCGCTCGCCAAAGTCCGCCAGGCACCAAGTCGGTGTATAAATTAATCATCATACCGATACATTCCATATGGGGAAAAAGGAAGGAAAAGGAAAGAAAAAAAAAGATCCACCCTCAAACCCATCGACAATCAGACAGTTCCATCAGCGTCAACCTTGCGATGCCGATAACTTACCTAAAACCATTACCGGCAGTTGTACAATTATCGGGTATGGTAGTACCGACAAAATCTTACCAGGGTCGGACCAAAAAAGAAATATAAAATCCGAGAGCCGGCCCGCTGGCTAACTGGCGCTACCGTGGCTTACCGTATCATAAGTTACCGCCGCGCAGAGCATCATCACGATTCCACGGTATCATAGCCAGCCAATCCATACCGTAGACTTCACTCAATTCCGCCCAGTCCCCCAAAGGTATCCCCCATCGCACCGCAAAAGTGACTTCCCAATCGAACGGCAATTTGAGCATTCTTGTGGTTGGCATACAGTGCTGTACCGTACGTACACTTCGGTACAACCCGCTTTCTAGAAATTCGCGCATGGTCCTGGACACGCCCTGGGAATTCAACTGAGTGAATGTGATCCAATCCTCCCATCAGTGTTTTTATTCTACGGCTTTTAGTGGGGGGAGAGTGGACCGCAAGGGTCATCTGTACTGTACGGTACTTGGGTATCAAACCATTTGGCCGTCAACAAGGTACAAGTCACGAACTACGCCGATGCCGAGTGCGCCCGTAGATATTCTCTGCTGAGGAGCACTCGTATCCTACATTACCAGGAATCCTTGCTCGAGATTTGTGCCCGTACAGTACAGTACGTACAACACCCCCCTCCCCCCCAAACGAACTGAAATACCGTGATTGAACCTCGCGTTGCGATAGGACGTTGTACAGTCGTTGACCTCCTTCCTTAGTAAGGTACAGTGCTCTACTCGCATACAGTATTTCTCTTTTCACCCGCCCTACTAGAGAACTTAAAATCCAGTTGTTCTTTTCTTTTCTCCGTTCTTTTTTTAATTTTTTTAATTTTTACCTCTAGGGCAGATTCCCCCGCTTTCTCCGGAGGAGGGGGAATTCTGGACGTCCTAGTGTATGATTCGACCACTCCAGTTCTTAAATTTATGATCCAGCGCGTAACATTACTTGGGCAGCACGAATCAGCTCAAGCATTTTATTTCCTGTTCTCACAGTTTAGTAATCCGACATGGTTATCGTACTATCCAAGTGGGGGTCTAAGTTACGGTACCTGGTACCCAATCCCCCCCCCCCCCTCCTCCCCGGTGTTTGTTTAAGGTGCGGCGATTTGGGGGTCCGCAGTACCGTATCATATCATATTATATACAAGTAGTACTTGCTCCCTCGTTGGCTCGGCTCTTGCTCCCAATCACACATTCATCTAATATCAATATCATACGTGGGTGTGCAACAGGGGGGGAGGGGGGGGGGGGGGGCGGATCATGCAGTCTAACAAGCCACTCTACCATACTGGCAATTTCTGGCTTAAAAAAAAAGAAGTCCATAAATCTTGGCGCGGTGGCTGGAAAATACACCCCATCTCAAAGTGGTTGAGCAGACGGGACCACAAGCCAACCAGAAATACAAGTACTATTCGTGGCGACATGATACCGGCAGTTCAACAGACTTGCCCTTCATATGAAGCCGGCACTATATGGTACAGCGCTGTATCACCCGACCTGGATATCATATGATATCAACATCCCCCGCAACACGCATATCCGGATATTGGGGTCACGGAATTTAAGGTTTGACCTACCGCATCGTAACCTACTCGAGTACCGGTACGGGTACAGATCCAGGCTCTGTGCTATGGTGCGCCGGATGATGATGCCTACCGGTACCGGTACCTGCCTAAATCGCCCGCTTATCACACATGTTACATGCCGGTATGGGACTTTTGGGAGGGAGGGGGGGGAAAAGAAAAAAAAAGTGCCCTGTGTATCCTTTGGAAACGTGGGCGATCGATGGGATCGAGTGCGAGAATTTCTCCGATGGGGTTTCGGACAACTGCCGGTTTTTGTGTGCTGCGGGTGGTGGTGGTGGTGAGATTCGGCAGATTTTAAAAATAGGATTCCATACCATACCATACCGGCTGAAGTGGAAGAGGGGGGGGGAACGTGCGGGGATCCTTTCTGGGATTAGTAATCCTGTCCGCGAACCAGAGGGGGTTGGAGTGGGTTGGAGTGGGTTGGGATGAACCTCCTGGCTGCGAGAGGGTAAAGAGATGAATATTAGAATGGATGGGGGTTGTTTTGTCTGGGTATTTTAGGGATTATTTATATTATAGGTTTCTGGCGATTCGTGCGGTTCTAGAGAGCGTTCGACAAGAAGACATCGTGGGAATTAACTTGCTTACTCACCCGCTTACTTGCGGGAACTGGTGTGAGTGGGTGGAATGACATGACTTACTGTCTGATAGACCCCCCACCCCGGGCAACTACTTAGGCTATTTAGGGGGAAGTGAGTGGATGAGAGGCCCCGCGCTGAAGCTCACCCAAACCCTGCCACACGACCCCGATGACCATGGGGATAGCAACCAGTACCCACTGCCAAATTCACTCACTGGCTGATGCTTTGAGTGGGATCAAATGTTAATAAAAACATCTCAGCCACAAGCAAGCATGGTAACTCTAGCAACCACAACTTCGCTTTCAAGCACTTTAAAAACAGGACAAAGTGGCCTTTAGTGGTCATAAGTACCCGGATAGCCGTAATCGGGCACACTTTGCATTTCTGCCGGCACCACGCTCTCCATTCCCGCTACGTGCCTGATTGAAGCGCGTCAACATTTAATCACATCCCAAGTATTGTGCTGTAGAATACGGTACTCGAGTACCGCAGTCTCGCGTCCTCCACCACACGCAATCTCCCAAAAACAGCGGGACAAACCTAGCGCGCCCCTAGCCCCGCAAATGGACCAGAGAGGAATTAACTCTCCCGCCACACATCACGAGTAAGAGAACCCTGCGAGAAACCACGGTACGTGACCGTTGAGCAGCTAGAATTAATCCTTGACGCTGAAACATATCATACAAGTGAACCCTAGCACATAATTAATTTAGTGTAAAACCCAATCCCCCCGACCCCCCCATTTCCATACCGGTATTTATTACCCGATCTCTAGGCAGTGACCTCAAGTACGGTATAGCTCAACGCGGAAACCCCCACTAACAGTGGTAGACAGCTGTCAGGCGGAGCCTTAGGCAAACTACTATTATAGTACCGGCACATCGGGGTATCCTTATTTCCCCACGCGGTATCACGGGAGCCTTATGTCGTCCTCTGTGGGGCATCCCCTCCAGCGTTTGTGAGTCGTGTCAGGTTTGCCTCAACCGACAAGAGGGGTGTGTAATTCGAGTGAGAAACCGTGATTGCATTCGCATTGACTGCCCTCTGAGGTACTGAGAGTGCCGAATTTCCCCCCGCATGGCGCTAAAGATGATCTCAAATTAAGCGTAAAAGCGTTCGAGGGCAACAGAATATCATACACAGCTCGTGACAAGCGATAATCCGGTTCTGAAACCACGCCAACCGACTGTTCGGACCCATGGGGGGGGGGGGAGGGAGGGGTTCCCATAAGAAGTTGACTACTTTGAGGGGGGTTTTTTTTTTTGGAAAAAAGGGTTGTAACTTAACCTGAACGCGTTCGGTACCGCTCGATCACCCTCTGAATGGTCCAAAGCTAATTGGGCCAGCTTAAACTTTGGCCCAAAGCAGGGGAATTATGCACCAGCAGAGCTGCAGGGGGTGTTGGCCGTAGTACTGCCCTCTGCTAGTCACTGCTCTACAATAGAGAGACATGATATAGAGAGACATGCTATAGAGAGACATTCTATAGAAAGACATGCTATAGAGAGACATGCTACATCGGGGGTATATCGAGGTTTAGCTTTCTGGGGATTTCAGAACAGTAGACTGAAGTTTCAAGATATTGAGTGTGTGTGCGTAGGGGGAGGGGGTGATTCAGGTATCATTGAGGAATATGATGAGCTGGTTCTTGGTTAAATAAGATGTGCGATAATATTGGTCGTGGAACTGGTACTTATTGGAAGGATCTATCGGTGGAAAGGGTGGTTTTTTTCTCTTCCATTTTTCCCCCTCTTTTCTCTTCGTTCTTTTATATCTGGTGTGTGCTATCGAGTAGGGAAGTAGTGGAGTGGGGGTTGCAGATCCCCCGGCCTGTGTGGATATGGATAGGAAATTAGGTATAGCAAGTTGTGATAATGTTAAGAGGTATGGCAATAGGGGCAATTAAGGCATTGGTGTATCATAAGTAAAGTATGGAAGAGCTCGTGACAGGAGAAGGAATGAATAGCAGGAACGGATAAAATGAGATAAAGGGAAAAGCAAAGGGGAAAACACGGGTCGTAGATGGCCAGAAATAAACAGAAATAAAGGAAATTGTAAAGCTCGAACGCCCAAGCTATCTTGCCGCAGATGAACTGCCCCTCCCACCCCCTCCCACCCCACCTACCCTCTCCCCAAAACCTTCTCCTCCCCCGCCCCATCCCCCACAAAGTAATAGGCCGACCCCTCTTCCCCCCCCCCAAGCCCAAACCACCACCCTCTCCTCCCCGCTTTCTCCAAAACTCCCCTAACCACGCTCTCAAGCCTCCTGAGATCCTCCCACCCCATCTTAATACACCCCCAAACCCCATCCGCCCACTTCCAATAAGTGGCCTCAATTCTCCGCACCAACTCCGCGCAGTCCACCCCGGGCCCGTCGGAAATGGCATGCAAGTGGTTCCTCAACTCCACCCATTCCCAAAAATAGGCTTCAATATCTAGTGCTATGAGATCTTCCGCGTGACGACGCAGACCCAGGGCTTGGGTGGTTAGGTATGAGTGGTAAGACTGGGCATCGTGGAGGGTTGAGGTGTGCTGGTGGTGGGCGGCGTTGAGGAGGGTTGTTAGGCCGGTCAGTGTTTTGTACATGGTGGAGAGAGAGCGGTTTGTTAGGGTTAGGATTTCGGCAAGGTGCTCCGGGGTTAGGGGTGCTGGCGAGGAAGGGGCAAGGAGGTAGATGGTGGAGTTGAGCAAGATGGCCGGGATGGGGGTTTGCGGTGGCATTAGGGTTTTTTGTGGTTGGAGCCCTTTCTTGGCTTTGATTCTCTGGATGTTCTTTTGATCAACTGAAGAGCGAAAGGAAAAAAAACCTAATTATGACATAAATCCCCTGTGTGTTCGGGGCCGTGTTTTGTTGTGTGCGTGTGTGTGCGCCCGCGTGTGTGTAAAAGTTACCTATCAAGCCTATATTTCAGAGAAGGCGCCAGCTTTCGCGCCGCATTTATCTCACAGGCCATCAATTCAAGATGGACTGTCAATTTCTAGAATTCAAAAAGCCAACATAAGTTCTCACTCGCATCATTTGACTCAAAAGAAAGCCAGAGAAGGAAGATTGGGGAAGAGGATAAAAAAAAGTGTCCCAACAGTCCCCAGGGCGGCGGCCGGATGTCCCCTGGAGGGAAAGGTGGTCATTCCACGAGTGGGTACGGTATGGCTGGGTTGTGTGGGTTCGCTAGAGCCGGGGGTGGTCTCGATGCTTCTAGTTCGGACGAATTTTGAGGAACGGGGGAAAACAACGGAAAGCTGGGGGTTTCAAAGCGGTATATGTGTCTGAACCGCCTCCTCGACTAAAGCGGCATCAAATCCACCGAATGTGTGAAAATTAGGGTACGTTACTAGGAAAAACACTCGCATTCTGGTTAGATCCCACTCCGAATTGGTATATCCCTACAATTACTAACCCCCAGCGGACTCCATCTGAATGATTTCCCCCCACAGAAAAGTGACTCTCGACAACAATATTGCCTTCCTCAAAAACTCCACCGTTCCCCTCTACCCCTTCCCCTCACCCTCTTTCTTGCCTCCTCACACTCTCTCACCCCTACATCCCCGACCCTAGCTTTGCCTCTCCTTGACCCAGATTCCATCGATATCAATGTCTTCGCGCCAACCAGACAACTGGCGTCAAGGAGACTCCCACTGGGGGATCCTCGATATGCTCAGGTCCTGCTTATCCCTTGATGACACTGGCGAAGAGGATGACTTTGACGACGACCTTTCTTCTGATAATGAATCTCTCCCTGGGGCTCAGGTTGAGCATGCTGGCTACCACGCCCACCGAATGGAAGAATTGTACCTATTCGCTCTTGGAAACCTGGCCCTCCGTGAACCAATTATCGATTCTCAAAACGAACGGAACGACTCCGCGCTACTATCGCCAATCTTGCCTACTCCCGTTGCGTCGGAACAAGAGGGACGGGAGGCCTCCAAGAACCCTCCCCACCACACTTTGGAGTCGGAAGCAAGTCTTGCTTGTTCGGCATCCGGGTATGGCCCTATAGATTTAACATCAGGATCTGTCTCTACTCTTGATCTCTCCAAGTGTGAGGTGGGAGTAGGAGGGGATTTTGAATCGGAGACGGACAACTCTGAATGCGGTGACAGGGAGTCAGGGCCAGCACCTCCTGTCCTCTCTTCTGCCTACCCCTCAGACCCTGGCAACGGCCCGGAAGGCGAGGGTGAAGATGACGGCAATGACGACGGGGACGACGATCTGGGGCTGACACAATATTTAAGCCAGTCGGGCCCCTCCTCTGGAGCTGAATCGACTGAGAAAACAATTCACTGCATATACCACGATGATGACGGTGATGACGGTCCTGCGGGGCCTCCAACCCCACCGCTCAGGTTTGCCACTCCCTCGGAATACCCACAGTTCGACGAAGACGAAGAAGCCGATAGCCAAGTCAATAGCAAGCTTGAAGTGGAGCACTCGCAGCTTCCCAAACAATCCACTCGTCCAGACCTGCATACAGAAGAGGTCTCCTATAACAGCACTTTCCCCAGTCACTCCAATGCAGGCTCTAGAGCGACGGGCCTAACCACCCCCCACCCCGGATATGATGAATACGATGCCAGTGGCGAGGAAAATGACGAAAAGGACAGAGATGAGACAGACAACGCGTACCGGGGGCTGGCGGTCCCGGGGAAAGAGTCCCGGGAAAATCCCGTCGCCCACCTCCTCCGCCAACGCCATGTCATCAGGTCACGACCTTCCATGTCCCCTCCAGCACATGAGAGCAGCCTGGGGGAACTCCACAGAGCTTCCCCACCCTCCACAATTGACCCTCCAGCGGGAACCCAACCTTTGGGTGTCATTACCCCTAGTAACGAACAGTTTCCAATGATCAAACGTGTATTTGGCACTGTAAAGAGCACTTGCCGATTCTTTACCGCGGTACGTTTTCCTCATCTACAGAAGTGAACATGCTCGGGGGCACTGACAAAAGAAAATTCAGGATCATTTCGACTCCACACATGAATCACGACAAGGTGGGCCCGCAGAAAACGCGGCGAACGTTAGAGAGAAGAGAATTGCTCCCCAGGTAGAGTTTCTAGCTCGCGATTTTCCAGCTCGTGTCTTTAGGGTAACTCCTTCCTTCTTTCCTTTCACACACGCTCACACAGTCTCCCCAGGGGGTCAAGCCCCATGTTTTCCGATTTCTATGGGAGCACCCGAGCACTGAGACAAACGTATTAACGAGCTTGAAAACAAAAGGGCCTCCTACATGACGTCCGAAAGGAAGAAAACTCCAAGGACTGTCCGTTCGGTGATTCTCCCAATGAAGCGGATGAGAAAGCTGACCAGGGCGATGATGAAGATGATGATGGAGGCGAACATAAAGCCCAGGATGGGGGTTGGATCATCATTGGTAAGGAGAGGAAGAAGAACGTTTAGACCACCCTATTCGATGGTCTGCGGAGTCCAACAAGATTGCGAGTATGATACATTACCACTACCATCACCATGGCGTCCTTCACTCTTCCTAGGAGATTATCATCAATGACACTTTCCCCGATAAGAATTCAGGTGCATTCTAAATTCCGGCTATCTTGTCGCCCCCGGCACACCATCCCCTTCTATATATATAGGGTACGGCGATTCCTGCTGCACGGGAATTTACCGTATATGAGTTATCTTTCGCGCAAGGGAAAACCGAAAACAAAAATCACAAAAAAAGAAATTTTTTCTCTTTTTCTCTTTTTTTCCTTTTATTTTCTTTCTCTCACGCACTCTCCCCTCAATATTGTTATTGCGATTCATTCTGTGATGAAATTTTTTTTGTTGCTTGGTTATGAAAGTGTGAGTTGGTAGCTTTGCACAGCAAAATACTCCTGGATGCGTTTGGTTGCCTAAAAATTTATGATGACTTATGATAACTTTGTGTATGACGAGCTGCTGTACTAGTACATTACTCGAGTAAACCACGCTCCATCCCTTCTCCCCTCCCCCCAGATTTCCCATCCCCGCCGCTATCGTTTTGCGGATGGTCGGTTCGCAACTCGTGCTATGAAGTCAGGTCCATTATCATGATGAAGAGTAGCGTGCCAAGAATTAGTACTGCAACAGGGATCACCAGTGTTGATCTTTTACTGTATTTGTGGGAGGTGGCGGGGGTGAAGGGAGGGATCGTAGCATTGTTTACCCACTTGGTACTTGTGTCATACTTTGGCTTTGTGTGGGTTGGTTGTAGTGGTGGGGTGGTTTTGCAGGGAAGAGCCGCGGGGGGCGGGGGCGGGGGGTGCGGGTACCCAGGGTGTTTCTGTCAGGTGAAAGATTGATAAAATTATCGTCGGTTGGGGTGATTGGGCCGTGATACTTCTATGATGCATCTAGTGAATACTGTAGAGTCTGTGCGAGCAATAATGCTTGGACTGTTTGTAGACGTGGTAAAGGGCCTGCTGGGAATAATGTACCGTATATGCGTACGAGAGGGATGGTGATCACGAGCCCTGGTGGGGTGATTAATCGATGTATAGTACGGGCGATTATAGACCCTCTGGCCCTCTTGTGCATATATTTATCCGTCTACCGTATAAAAACGCGCCTCCAATGAAAACAATCCAGTGCCCTTTTTTTTTCTTGCATCATAAAAGAGAAAAAGTAATAACCATGATATACATTCTCCACTTCTTCCACCCCGCTCTTTTCCCCTCGAAAAAAAAAAGAAAAGAAAAGAAAAGTAGTATCCCCTCTCTCACTTTCACCTCCTTATAGCACCCCATGCCCCCCCTCCGCCGCCAGCCCAGCGGTATCCGGCCTCCCTGGCACCCACAATCTGCACGAAAGCCGAATCCTCACCGGCGACCCTCCCGCTCTTGACACCGACCATGCGTCGTATCCACTTCATCACGAACCACACCCATAGGCCCGATCGCTTACTCAAGCCGAAGACACCGTCGCACTCGCCTGGGGTGTGGGTGAGGTCGCAGTCAAAGCAGTAGACTGGTAGGGTGTTTGATTGGTGGGTGCACTGTGATGGTGGTGGTTAGTCAGTGTCGCAAGGCGAGGAAGGGATAGGAGGGGGGAGGGGGGGGGTATACTAAACCCGAGTCATTGCGCTCAAGGTCTGAACTCGTGAAGGTTATTGATGCCGAGTAGGTGTCTAATAGTGGGGTTGGGGTTGGGGAAATGACGTGGAGTGGGGAGGAGAGGGGAGTGCCCGGTTGGTTTGCTGGTGGGCGTTGGGAAGATGCGGGTCCCCTAGTCGTTGGTAATAGCGGGGCGTGCGGGTAGAACATCATGGGGGTGGTGGAGCCCTTGGATGGCTTTGTATTCGGGTGGTTGGGTTTGTGATCCATTGCCGTGCACTGGGGTTGGTAAGATGGCTACTCGAGTAGATGTTTCTCACCTTCTTTTAAGGCTTTCGGGGATAGATGTAGTGGTACAGGTGGAGGTGGCGATCAGCTTGTGGCCCTGCGATATGGGTAATACCCGACTGGACTCCCTTCGATGGACACTTTTACAATGTGCACACACCTTCTTAGAGAATTATATTTGCAATCGGTGAATGGATGAACAGTTAAGTGGGTCGATACTCATAGAATTTCATCACATTCTTTCTCCTTCCTTTCAATTTCGGGGTCAGCAAAGTATAGTGCCATAATTGCACAGAACGACAGCGTTGCGGTGCGAGTACTGTACTCGAGTACATTTACCGGTAGCGAAGGCAGACTCGCCCTCCCACCCCGAAAAACACGAACCATAATCCCAATTCTTTGCCGGGGAAGAGAAAAACGCATACAGAACCCCCATCTCGCTTCCCCGGGTTCGCAAGGACCGGGCCACCACACCAACGTCACCGTCAACACAATAGCTTCCACAGGGATCAACGTGCTCGTCATCCCGTGCACTCTCCGCGTATACAATGTACTATACCCTTGTACAACATGGTACTAAAGCATGGGAAAGCAACCCTGGCCCAACGTTCCACCGTCTCCGAGAGGCCGGACCGCGTCAGGACCTCTCACCCGGGAATTGAACGCCCTGGCTCAGGGAGTCTTCTTTGACATTGCGTCGTCGGCCCCTCGCACCCATGGGCAGAGCACACCTATCCCACCCGCTCCCCGAAACTCCGGTCCATCAATGCCAATGACACCCACCGAGCGTGCATGTGGGCTCCAAGCTGGGTTCGACTGTGTGTGGGTGCACTGCGTCACTGAGAGTCCGTTGGATGAAGCCTTGTTTTTGATGCTGCTCGTCGGGTGTGTACAGCAAGAGTATGCAACTACACATGGGGCATGTGTCCGCACGATACGTATGCATTTCCCCGTGGGTAACCGTGCACCTGATACCGCTCGATTCCCGAAGCACAAATATGGAGTCTAACGAGAGGGCCCTGGCGCCCCCCTATTCAAGGTGATCCTTGCTTAATTCGTTTGCATTGATCTGTACATGAAGGAAGAGTTGGGAGAGAGAAAGATGAAAAACCAAATTGAACGCCTGCCGAATCCGCGCTGTCCCCGCCCCGCAAACTCCCATCCATTTACAAAGGGAAGCAAAAGATGAGTCGAATAAAGCGGTCTTCGTTTTCCTACCCTATCTCACTATCCGTCAAGCGGCGGTGGTGAAGCCGATGGTTATCGCACCCGATCTGGAGCGCCCAAAACGCCTCATCTCTTCGGACCTTTCGGACAGGGTTTTAACTGGCGCCGCACGAGGGGTGCCGGCAGTGAGTTTTTGGTGATACCTTTCCTCGAGTGTAACGGGCGTGGTGGAGGCTAGGAAGGATGCGGCAGCGTTTGAGGGAACGTAGCAGTACGCTTTTTCTGCCGATAGTCTTGAAGGGGAAGCGGATTTTGGCGTATTAGGAGTGAGGAACCGAGATAGGCGTCGAGCCAAGCTTAGGTTCTGTGGGGACTATCCTTGGCCATTAGTGAAGGGGATCATGGACGAGAGAGCGGAGACGGCATACCATGACTGGGCTAACTGGAGTTCGCTGGATGAAGCGGGTAGGGTATTTTGACGTGACGAATATACCTGTGCACTCTGCTTCTGCGATACTGATGTATCTATCCATCACTAGGGAAGAGCAGCTCTTTATATGACGAGCTCCCCAGCAGTGGGGGACACGACACCGAGTGCGTAAAGGCAGAGCTGGTGACCATCCCGAGATCCCAGAACCAAGTTTGATTTTGCTTTTCTAGGAGCGGGCTCACGGAGACTTCCTAATCAGTGCGAGTACTCGAGTACAGTACAAGTAGCTCTTACCGGTACCTCAACCAGGTCCAGCCAGTTAAAGTGCTAAGCGAGAAACCCCGCTAGTCACGCTCAGCTTTTTTCTGGGCAGCAAAGCCACATCCGTCATAAGTCCTGCTGATAGACTCGGTTTTTCTTTTGGGCACTCTCCTCGGACAGTGCTAATTTACGTACCGGTACTCGAGTGGAGTCAGGCACTGCGGGGCGCTTGGGAATCATAGCAATACGATAGCCCGAGCAACCTGGGGCAGCATATGATATTCGTACCTGCTATTTTTTGCAAATAAGGATTTGCGGCTTCTCCAGCCTGCGAACGCCCACATCCTTGAACCACGCCTTTGAGAAGCTTCACTCTCTAGTTTAGGAAAAGAGTGGGCTTATCGGGCTAAAAGTCGCTGCTCTGCTTTGAATGCGGTGAGCTCTCCATCTTCCAGCCCCAATTGTTCCTATTCAGCCCAAAAAGAAGAAGAAAAAAAACTTGGCTCGCGATCGGGCGGAAGGATCCAGATTAGCCGAACCCCGACACAAAGGCAGATGGAATCCTTCGACCAACCGAGCCAGTTGGGACTGTTGTATCATACTCGAGTACGGTCGACTACTCATATATGTAGGGCTCAACTCATGATGCGGGGGCTTACCCAAGTACAGTACAATGCTAGCCCTAGTGTCCTCGTACTCAAGCCCTCGTACGGTGACCGCACCAGAAGTATCCCAACCCCCACATCCATTGACCGTTCGATATCTTGGGAAATAGGGGGTGGGGACGCGCACACCACACTACGAGTAGACCTCCCAACCACTGCGCTCGTACAGCAAGTGCAATATTACTGTTCCACTCGGTGTAACGAATGGGTCGGATAGCCGAGAAGGCAAAGCCAACAGCGCACCGAAACCCATTCTTCCGAATGCGATCGTGGCAAATGTTCCAGCTATTCTCGGCGCATCAAGCTGAAAGGTCCACAAGGGAATTTACTACCGGAAGCCGGACTGGCGCCAAACTTGCAGCCTAAACGACCGGGAAGGATGAACTGCAGACACCAGTCGACTGAAAGTGCCTGCCCTTCCGTGGAATAGCTGGACCGGGTAGTGAGCTTGAGTTAATATCAGCTTCTACAACCTTACGGTGGATTTCATTATTAATCAGCCTCTGTGATAACAGTGCCGAAGAGAAAAAATCTGAAGATTAGGCCCAAGACGTCCTTGGCGAGGACCTGGTAAATCCAATTATTCGGGCCCTGATGGACCCATGGCTCAGCGAAACCTCCCCCGGCGGCGGTGTTACCGGGCCAAAAGTTAGTTTGATGAGATATGATCACCACAGGATGCACCATTTGGATTTGGGATCAGGCCTTTTTAAGAAAGAAATTACCCTGGATATTCACGGCATAGCGCACGTAATAACTTTTCATTCGCGAGCTGGAAACACTCTCACCAAATACCGGCTTGTCATGGACTTGAAAACGGGCTTCTCTTCTGCTTATCGAACCCATCGCTATTTCCGTGACCCTTCCAGAAAACTCGCTGCATGGGGCACGAGTCTTTCTCGTCCCCAATTTGGGTTGTTGGAGATGCTATTTAGTATGATAGTATGATAGTATGATACAGTACGAAGAATTTCCTAACAGAATCATCCCTTATCTCCCCTTAAGATCTTCGTTATTCTCAGCCCACTATTGAGGGGTGCTGCCCGGAGGCCAGAGTTCTCACATCACCTCTTCCACGACGGCTCTCTTGGACCCTATCTTCCCTCTCCCCCAACTGCTAAGTCACTACTCCTGCCAAATCCTGTGTTCTCCATCGCCATATCAGCATGGCTGATAATTTTGCCTATCCATAATAAAGTGACTCATCAAAAGTCTTGGTGATTCGGCACATTTACACCAAAACTTGTCATTTTGAGGGGTCACTGAATGAACTCCTATCCAAAACTGGGGCAAGAAATTTTCCAAGTAGTTATATAAGTATGTAGACAGTATCATCCAACATATCAGAGATCTCACTAGCCTGTTCCCATGATGCGGTGGCTTCTCAAAGATACTACCTCGTGATGATGTGTTGCTATAGCAACTATCTCCATAGTAGACTGATGATAATAACAACTTTTGGGTGATGGTAAAACTTTACAAGCTAGCAGCACCTACAGTTGGTACTGAGAAGGCTTCAAATTATTTCTAAGGTATTGTGTGGATAAAGTGACTTGGACCCCAGAATATGGGAAAAGGGGCATATGATTTCAATAAACTATAACATAATTTACTGGGAAGCAGCTCGGGACCCGGATGTGGCTTGGCGCCAAGCATGGTTTCAGTGCCTACCCTGCTTGCAAGAATAATACTGTAGATGTTAAGAATCCTACCGGGTACAACAGTGCGACAGGTAATGATTCTTAGCTTGGGGCGAGATAATAGTTCTTAGGCCGATGCCTATGCGATATTGATAGTCAAGTCCTTTGACCTCTATCTTATTGCGCCTATCCCTCTATTCTTCTTAAGTCCTCGCTTAGGACTTATTCATTTGACGTTGGATGAGAAATAGTTTTTCACTTTGAGGGAAAAGACAATTCTTGGGTTTCTTAAGATAAATCTTAAAGAGCCTGAGCATAAAGGTAGGTTTTATTGGTAAAAACTTAAAGGTAGGAAATAAACAAGAAGAATGTATGAAGAGCTAATACTAGGGGTCCTAGTGACCCTTTATATAGTAGCTCTTCACCTGGCGTAACTCATACTTTTGAGTCACGCAAACCTTGTGACTCATAACTATAAGTTATGCGAAATCTATCAGCCAACTCCTGTGAGTCACTACGCAACTCGCATCACCTGAGTGAGACCTATGACTCATAATTTGAGTCATGTGTGAAAATCATAACATTGTGTGACTCACAACTATGAGTCACTAACAGGTAAACATAATAACCTAAGGCACACTAATATGCATCATGTGATATTCCAACATACCTATAGCTTGGAATCCTGAGCTATGTGAAATCTCCCTTGCTTAGTCATGGTTTGTGACAGTAGAGATCTCTAAAATTCATAAAAATGTCTGAAATTTTCCACGATACCGCTTATTAAAGAAAGAAAGAAAGAAGAATGAAGGAGAAGCCAGAATACAGGAAGCGATTAAGCACTATCGGGAGAGTGATGAGTCATCTATATGTGAGTCTGGCGAGAAGTTTGGTATTGCCTACTCTACCCTGCACGGAAGGCTGAAGGGATGGCAAACTTGGGTCACAGGGCATCTCCAGATGCAAGTATTAACAGAATACCGTAACCACTCTGGAGATAGAGACCGTTGCCAAGAGAATTGCGTACATGATCACCGTCAAACTATACCTTATATACAAGAGAGAAAAAAAAAAAAAAAGCAAGACATATCAAAACTCTAAAAACTATTCATCTAGGAGAGTAAATTCAACAGCTTCATCCTCGGCTGGGGAACCAGGAGCCAAAAGTTCTACATTTTCATTTTCTGAAGTACCCAAACTGATCATGTTGGCTGCCTCCGAGCGTGTCCAATCACCTACTATAAGCTCAATGGGTGAAAAGCCTTTAATGCTAAGTTCAGAATCAGAAGTTCCGTCAACAGGTAAGGAAATCCCAGTACTTCGGAAGCTTTGAATAATAATCTTTCGCCGTGAATAACTCTGGTGCCACTCCTCCCATGCCCTTCCAACTGCCTCTGTAGTCACTACCCGGTGTTGACTAAGAGTCCACTTTTCAATATCCTCCAAGTGTTCTTTTTTCTCTCGAATTTCCTCAGTAAACTCCTTTATCAGGCCCTTAAAAGGCTTATTCAAAGCAATATCAAGGGGTTGGGTCATTGGTGTTGTGCCTGCCGGGATCAGGGAGGGTGTAATGTTCTTATCACGGTAGGTTTGAAGAACTTGGGATGTGAGATGTGCACGATATCGATCAAAAATGAATAATGCGTGCTCGTTTCCAAACATCGGTACTAGAAACTGTAGAATAAATTGGATGAACAAATTTTCATTCATCTAACCAGTAGGAGAAAACTCCACATGAACCCGTATATCCCATGATTGTGATTCTCGTTGCCATATCCTGGTTCCACTTGATGCAGAAAAAATTAGGATAGGTGGAACTCGAGGTACTCCATCAGCGAAAATGCAAAGAAAAAGTGTACATTGACATTTTTCAGAGCCCGATTCAGCACTCTTTGACCAAACAGTCTTTGCACCCTGCAGATCATATGTCCTGCCAACCAAATACTCCTAGGGGAGCGGTGTTTCATCCACATTACAGATGCAGTGCTCAGGAATTCCTCCTTGATCGTTGTTGCAGAGGAAATGGAGGGAGAGTGGATTTGGTGGCTGATCGAAAGCAGAATGCAGTAGGGGAGTAAGTATCCTATTTCGCTGATTGAATCTCAACCACTCCAGGATTTGTTCCTTGTAATTTTGTGGTAGAGACTGGGCTGTATTTGTCACAAATCGCAAAACGACTCGATGCCGTGATAGGAAATCCTGAAACCATCCTACAGAAAAGACAAATAGTTCTGAAGGAAGCTCCCGGTAGGCATTTCTCCATAGCTCTCTTGCCTTTCTCCGAAACCATCCATCCCTTACTGGTCTCCCTTGGCCTCTCTACTCAAGAAATGAATCAAATAATCTTTTCTCCATCTCCGGCCACTGGCAATTAAAAACTATTGCAGCATCTCGATATGAGCTATCTCTACCAACTTGCTCAATGATCTTTTGCAAATTTTCTGGCTTTCTCCATCGTGCAATTGTGCTCTTCGGTATCTGAAAAAAGAATGATGCTTTATCAAGTGTCGGAGGCCTCATCTTCATTGCTGTATTTGGCCTAGTATTGGGTACACGATAGTACTCCATCCAACTCAGCACTTCTATTTTTCTCCGTCGCGTATAACTCCGTTCTACTCGCTGACAAGGTTTAATCTGCACCATAACAATTTAGTACTTTATTGCATATGTTGTGGAACATACTCCTTACCCATGACTTCAAATTACGTGCCTCAAGTGGTCTTGGTTTAGGACCCCGGTGCCGTGACTGTCTCTCATTCTTGTCATTCTCTTTCAGCTTTCCCAAGGGTCTTCTGATAGCTGGCATTGCAGTTAAGGAGGCTTCGGTCGGTTTCATGAGGGGGTTTTTTGACTTGACTTTCGGTTTGGTGAGTGGTTTCCCATGTTTACTGGTGGTACTCCCGTGATTGAGCTGTTGTTGTTTTTGGAACCTCTGCCAAGCTCCTAAACTGGATAGCCTTGCTGATCAACTCCTTGGCAATGGTTTCTATCTCCAGAGTGGTTACAGTATGAGGAGAGTTTACTTG